TACATTTTGGTTGTAATAAAACCCCCAATTAAGGAACAAAAAGGATCATTTTTGTGAAAATGTGTTACAGTCTTGTTATAATAAGACCCAATATCAGAAGTAAAAGAGGATCTTTTTTAAGAACCCTATAGTGCCTATTTGTACATTTTTGTTGTAATAAAACCCAATCAGAGGGTTAAAACGGATCATTTTTTGAATAACCCCATAAATGCCTATAAAACCTAATCCTTAAGCCCTATCGCCTAAACTCTCGCCCTCCAACCGGGAACCAGGATCATTGGCAGCGGGGCTGTGAACTGCGCCTGCTTCGTGCCGACGCTGCTGCTTGGCGACCTCTTGACCCCCAGGGGTTTTGCGAGCTGAGGGCTGGGGAGTATGGTTTTAGGGTTTCATGTAGGGTGTAGGGTTGAGGAGTTTAGGTTTAAGGGTTTAGGGTTTTAGGGGGTTAGGGTTTTAGGGTTTAGGGTTTTAGGGTTTTAGGGTAATGTAGGGGCCTTCTTATACTATTTTTGGGGAGGTTCCTTCCTGTTGGTATAGTAGACTATATCCGCCAAAACCCTGTTCTAATTATTAAGGCCCCTGCATTAGGATTCACGAGACTTAGGGTTTGGGGTTTGGGACTTCGGGCTTGGGAGTCTTAGGTTAGACTTCGGGGTTTAGGGTTTCGGGCTTAGGGCTTACCTGGACCCCAACGAACCTGCCTTTTTAGGGTTCCTTATTATGACTTCTTTATTCAAGTCCTTAAAAAGGCAGGTTTTTCAGGGTCGAGGTAGGGCTTGGAGTAGGGTTCAAGATGCAGGGATTCGCGGTTGAAAGGTTTAGAAGCTCGGCGTCCCCCCCTCCCGGACCTTTGAATCCGGGTAGTTCTCCAAACTAGGGTCCCCTTTTTAAGGGTCCCGTGTAGAAGGGTGCCGTACTTTTCTAGGGGACCGAAAAAGGGACCCGAATTTGGAGAACTACCCATCCGAGGCTTCCTGTCTTGAAGGTGAGGCTTCCCAGAGACTCCAACATCCCTTAATCTAAAGGACTAGACCTTCAATTAGCATTGAGGAATAGAACTTAAATCAGATATATACTCTAAATTAGAGTAGGATCCCTAATTCGATTTAAGGTTATACTCCTGAAGGAAGGGCTATTAGAGTGTCTGGGCCCCTGGTTGAGCTTCGGATTTTAGATGGGCCTTGGGAGCAGCGTGGGAGACATCCCGAAGCCCGGCGAAACAACCCGAAATACTATAGGGGCTTAAATAGTTACCAATACTATTTTTTGGGTGGTTCCTTGTTATACTCTATTATACTATAAAAAGCTTTATATAATTTTTAGTACAAAAAAACCCAAAACCCTATTCTGATTATTCAGGCCCCGACATTAGAGCTGTCAAATCTTCGGCACCCCGAGGCTGGTGGAGTTCGTGAACTACCTCGAGAGAAATCCGGACGAGGCTCAACATGTGGCTAGGCTTGAAAGCTTACTTGGGGTATGGCTCAGTTTTTTGCTAACATGGGGGGGGGGAGGGGGTTTATGGTTTAGGGTTTATGAATGCTTACTTGGGGTACGGCTTATGGCCTAGTGTTTCTACAATATAGGGGGTTCGCTGTGCTCCAGATTTTGTGATGTAGGCCGTTGGGCTTTGGGCTCCTTTTGCTTTGTGTTGAGCTGGGCATCTGGGTTTTCACGGCTGTGCCAAAAGAGTCTTCGACACCCTTGGTCTAGGACATTTTCAGGTGCGTAGTTACCGTTATAGGAGCCTTATAGAAGGTCTATATGCCTGATAGAAGCCTTATAGAAGCCCTATATACCCTAAACTCCCCGCCTGTAATTTCCTTTAACTTGGCGTCACATCCGAAGACTCTCACCAAAACCCGGAACCCAAAACCCACAAAAGCCCAGATCCGAGAGTACGGTTGATGATCTATAAATCCTTAGCATGACCTTGAGGGCCCTAAGCTATGGGATCTATGGGCCTAGTCCTTATTATGGGTAATGCAGGATTTATATCATCAACCGTATCAGGTCCGACAGTCCCTTCGCCGCGTCTTGACTATCGGGGAAGCCCTGATGACGGCGACCTGCGCACAGATTCTGGGCCCGATGCGGGGTGTCGGGTTTTAGGGTTTGGGCAGGGGTCAGGGTGTAAGGCTTAATCAAGCCTCTGCTCCCTAAACCCTAAACCCTAAGCCCTAAACCTTAATCAAGCTTCTGCGGTTTCAGGGGCAAAGATGGGCGGACAAAAAGCAATAGAAGTAGTTTCACTTCACCCCTTCGATCTTGGTGTCCGGCAGCAGAAGCTCCTGATGAATACTTCTAAAGTGACAGTCAGGGATCTTATAGGTGAGATAATTACAACATAACAACATATGATATAACATAAACTACTACGGTATGATATGGTATGGTATAATATAATACAATATATTCTAATATAGTATGATCTTGCTGTAAAACAAATCTAATGCAATATGATATGATATCACATGACATGATTTGATATGAAATCATATAAGAACCATGCTCAAAATGTAACATAGTATAATACGATAAGAATAATGAGCATGATCTAATATAAATATAGTATGGTATAGTATGGTATAGTATAGCATAGCATAGCATAGTATAAGATAGTACAGCATTATCTTATGGCCACCTCCAAGTCCACGGAGTATAGCCAAGGGAGTCTAGCAAAATGGTTGTCCGGTGCATGTTCAAGCTCTTCAAGCTTCCATGTTTCATCTACCGACCCGTCACTCTGAAGCTTGCCGGATTGCCTCGAGCATTCAAGACGCGCAGCCCCCAGATCACTCGCACACGATCCGAAGCCCCAAAGCAGAGACAGTTGTTCAGGGTTTCGGATCTTGGGTTTCGGGCTTTAAGGGTTTAGGGTTTAAGGTTTAGGGTTTAGTGACTTCAAGGGAGCAGACACAGGTTTCAGCACTAGAGAGCCAAGGATGTTGAGCCATATCCCGGAGCTGGAGATTCACAACCTCTACGGCCCCACGGAGGCTCTGGTAACGGAAGCCTTGGAGCTCCAAAGCCCTAAAGCCCTATACCCTAAACCCTAAAGCCTAAACCCTTAACTGCTAGGCGGAAAAAGGTGCTTCAAAAAAAGCCCTAAAGCCGAAACCCTGAACCCTAAACCCTAAACCCTAAACCCGAGCCCCTGGAAGCCTTGAAGCTCTAAAGCCTCAGATGGGTAGTTTTCTAAACTCTTTCTAAACTAGGGTCCCTTTTTGGGTCCCCCATATAGTGCGGCACTCTTATAAAAAGGACCCTAAAGGGGACCCTAATTTAAAGAACTACCCAGATGGCCTTGAAGTTGAAGTCCCCATTTCCTTCGGTCTTACAATATGGGACTATCCGAAAATAAGGGGTACCTTTTTCGGAAACCCCCATAGGGTAGACGGCTGAAGATCTTTTTGGCAGCAGTGTGTGATTAAGCTTTGCCCGACCAAAGCTTTTTCCTCCAGTGGTTCCTTTGGTTTCGATTTGTTCAGTTCGTGAGGCTTCCCGTCATACAGCCCCAACTCCCTCAGACTCGAAACCGTAATCCCCAAACCTTAGCCCTTCATCCCTAAGCCGTGACGTCACAGGCAAGCGTGGGCGTTTCTCACTTCAAGGTAACGGGTGGCAACGTGGAGAGCTTGGGCACGGTGGTGCCTATCGGAAGGCCTTCTTCGTCCCGCAAATTAGGTCCTGGGGGGTTTAAGACTTCAGGGTTTAGTTTAGGGTGTTAGGGTTTTAGGGTTTGGTTTCAGACTTTAGGGCTTAGGGCTTCGTCTATTCATCGTTCACGGGTTTCAGGATTTTGGGTTTAGGGTGTCTAGTGCTTTGCAAGGCCCTTCTCCTACGTCAACTTTTGCGTGTTTGACCCGAGCAGCTACGCAGCCGCTTGCCATGATCTCGCACTTTTCCATGGGGCTGTTACTCTGAGGGTAACGGGTTCTATAGGGCCCTTACACGCAAGCTCTCAGTTGTTCTTTAATGTTTAGGGTTGCTGAAGTGTGAAAGTTTAGGATTTGGTCTGAGGAGCCTGAGACTCTTTCACATGTTGTGAGGGGAGGGTTCCTAGAATGCTGAAAGAGTAGGGTTTTGGGGTTTGTGAGGCGTTGCAGGGACTTTCGGGCGTTTTGGAATGGTTTCGAGCAACACCTTGTAGCCCAAAGCTTTCAGACTTTGCAAATCCCACCCACCGAAACCCGCGGAAAGAGAAGTGTACGGGTTCAGGGGTGCCCGGTGCCCTCGGAACCTTCATAACCCTACACCCTAAACCCCAAACCCTAAACCCCTAAACCATGAAACCATAAGCATCTGGGCCCTCGGATCGTGGGTCTCTTGACATCCTCAATCGCATAATACGGTGGATGATACAAATCCTGCAGTACGGCATCACCCATGATAAGGACTCGACCCCATAATTCCCATAGTTTAGGGGTCCTTAAAGGTACTGCTAAGGATTTAGACTTAGATATCATCCTAAACCCTAAACCCTAAACCGTATGAACCCACTGTGGGATCCTCGGGGCCCCTAAGAAAAACCCCAAGCCCCAGCCCTAGCCGAGCCTCCGCGCGCAGCCCCTCAACCCAACACACCCTAAAGCCCCCTTTTGTGCTGCGGGGAAAAAAGGGTTTAGGGTTTTGGGTTTAGAGCTTAGGGTTTAGGGTTTGGGATGTAGGGTTTCGGGGTTCGGGTTTAAGGTTTTGGATTTAAGGTTTTGGATTTAGGGCTTAGGGTTTAGGGTTTAGGGCTTAGGGTTTTAGGGTTTAGGGTTTTAGGGTTTAGGGTTTAGGGCACCCCTCCCACTCTATAAAAGTGAAAGAAGCCAACCGGAGACCCTACACCCTGAAGCCCCCTCCCACTCTATAAAAGTGGGCTCCCACTCTATAAACGTGAAGAAACCACACGGAGAGAGCCTAAACCCTAAACCCTACACCCTAACCCTTAAACCCTAAACCCTAAGCCCTAAACCCTAAACCCTAAACCCTAAACCCCAAACCCTAGCCAGGACGGAGGTAAGATTGAGGAGAGCAGCCTCCAGTTGGCAGCTCCGGGCACCGTCGGCGAACTCTTCATCGGAGGCCGCAGCCTCGGGGCCTTTTTTTGTTGCTGTAGCTGTGGATGGTCTATAAATCCTCAGCAATTACCTTAAGGACCCTATAAACTATGGAAATTAGGGGTATAGTCCTTTATCATGGGTAATACGCAGGAGTCAGATCATCAACCGTAGGATCTTTGTTCTTTAAGCGTCGTCGAGCTTGGGGGGTTTGTGACTTGGGGGTTTAGGGCACCTTTCTGGGAGCGGTCGTAATGCCAGGTACTACGAGTAATATAGGGGCCCAAATAATTACCAATACTATTTTTGGGGGGTTCCTTATTATATTTATAGTAGAATGTACCCCAAAACCCTATTCTAATTATGGAGGCGCCTATATTAGTCATCGCACTGATTGCGTTCATCGTCATTTGGAGAGAACATGATTGCAACAGGTGCGAAGGACCATTTCGGTTGAGGTGTATACTAGATTGACAGATGGGTGGACATGCAGGCTAAGAGGCAGACAATAGAAGTCACTGATTGCAAGAAGCATAGGATGTAATTGCCAGCATGCAAAGGGCAAGACTGGCGTTCAACCTGCTAAGTGGCTTTCTGCAACAAGTGTGAAGTGGTGTTTAGGTAAGGATTTCTTGTGGTTGCTTTTTCTATGCACGCAGGAACCTAAACCCTAAACCCTAAACCCTAAACCCTAAACCCTTAAACCCTAAACCTAAACCCTAAAACCCTAAACCCTAAAACCCTACATTACCCTAAACCCTAAACCCTAAAACCCTAAAACCCTAAAGCCCTACATTGCCCTAAACCCGAAAAGCTAAACCCTAAAGCCCTACATTGCCCTAAACCCTAAAACCCTAAACCCTAAAAACCCTACATTACCCTAAACCCTAAACCTAAAACCCTTAAACCCTAAAGCCCTACATTACCCTAAACCCTAAAACCCTACATTACCATACACCCTAAACCCTAAACCCGAAACCGTAAACCGTAAACCCTAAAGCCTAAACGCTAAACCCTAAAAACCTACATTACCCTAAACCATAAACCCTAAAACCTAAAACCCTACATTACCCTAAACCCTAAAACCCTACATTACCCTACACCCTAAACCCTAAACCCGAAACCGTAAACCGTAAACCCTAAAGCCTAAACGCTAAACCCTAAAAACCTTACATTACCCTAAACCATAAACCCTAAAACCTAAACCCTACATTACCCTAAACCCTCAAACCCTACATTACCCTAAACCCTAAACCCTAAACCCCAAACCTAAACCCTAAAACCTAAAGCCCTACATTGCCCTAAACCCTAAACCCTAAACCCCAAAGCCTGAACCCTAAACCCCAAACCCTGAACCCTGAAACCTAAACTGCCTGCACCATCCCCGAAGCCCAAAGCCCGAACCCTTCAGGGGATTGCCTGGCCAGTGGGTACATCAAGAACCCCGAGAAGACCGAGGCAGCCACAAAAGCGCAAAAAAAGGAACCAAAAGGGTTTAGGGTTTAGGGGTTTAGGGTTTAGGGGTTTAGGGTTTAGGGTTTAGGGTTTAGGGTGCAAAAAAAGAGAGAAAGACGTATCTTGCAGAGAGCTTTTCTCTCTTGTGAGGTACGTGTTAGGATCGTTTGCTGCTGCTACTTGTGGCGTTGCATTTGCTTTCCTCATGGGGGCTTTCGGGGCTTCACACTTTAGGCTTGCAAGTTTTATTTTGCAGAATGTAGGGTGTGGGGAAGTCATATAGGACATTTTCAAGTGGGTAGTTATCGTTATCGGAGCCTTGTAGAAGGTCTCTTTGCCTTATAGAAGCCTGATAGAAGCCCTCTTTACCCTAAACTCCCCACCTGTAGTTTTCTTTGAAGTGAGGTTGGGTGCAGGTCTGTTGGGCTAACTCGAACCTGAAATCCAAAGCCTCCGGACTCCAACTGCAAGATGCCCGGATCTATGTATCGTCGACTTGTCGATCTGTGTATGTGTCCGTCCGTCCGTATGTATATGTATATATATATATATGTGTATGTATGTATGTATGTATGTATGTATGTATGTATGTATGTATGTATATATGTATATATATATGTCTATCTGTCTGGTTGTCTGGCTGCCTAGCTGTATGGTTCTCTGGCTGTCTTCTGTCTCTCCATCCATCTGTCTATCCGTCTTGATCCATCATAAACCCATCGATCTATCGATCTTTCGCCCAAGCCCTATAAACCCTATAAAACCCTAAAGCCCTAAAGCCCGAAAAGCCCTATAAACTCCTAAAGCCCTATAAACCATATCAACCCTATAAACCCTATAAGCCTTATAAACCCCTAAACCCCTAAAGCCCATAAACCCTACAAGCCCTATAAACCCCTATAAGCCCTAAAGCCCATAAACGCTCCAAGCCCCCTTAGCAGCCCCGTGCGGAGGCCGCGTTCTTCAACTTCCCGGGCCTCTGCCCCAGAGCTCCCGAGGGGGCCTCACCCTTCACCCTCTACAAGACCGGCGACCTCTGCAAGGCTTTGGGTTTAGGGTTTAGGGTTTGGGGTTTAGGGTTTAGGCCCCGATTTTTGGTTGGCTTTTGGTGGGCCTCTCTTTGGTCGTTTAGGGGTTTAGGGCTGGAGGGTTCTAGAGGGCTTTCGGGTTTAGGGCTGGAGGGTTCTATAGGGTTCTTCCGGGGTTTTAGGAGGTTTAGGTGAAGTCTTCGCCTCAGTGAGAAGACATAGCCCTAAGGTCCGGAATCCACACGCCGGCCGGAACGGATCGGAATCTTCAACCCCTAAAACCTTCTTTACAAAAACTGCTACTTGTGCTGTCAGCAGTGCCAGTATGCATGAATTGCAGCGGGGTTTCAAACCAGATGGCGTGAGGGTTGAGTCTTCCCAAAGAGCCCAATACCCCTTAATCAAGAAAGATAGCTTAAATATTATAGGGCCCTTAATATTATGGTTTAAGGTATGGTTCCTTTTTTAAGGGGGTTATTGGGGTTTCTGAGTCTTTGGTGCTCTGGCTTCAGGGGTTCGAGTCTACGGGCTTCTCGGGCCTGTGCAGGTGGAGCATGGCGTCTTCCACTACATGGGTCGCAACGACTTTCAGGTCAAGATCAGCGGCGTGCGCATCGAGTGCGAGGAGGTGCGGCTGAATTTGGGGTTCGGGCTCGGTTGGCTTTGGGAAAACCCCAAACCCTAAACCCCTAGGCAGGTTGAGGTTGCAGTTGACGGTGGGCTGGGTGGGAGGGACAACAGTGCAAATGGCTTTGAAATGCCAGGCGCTTCTGTTCAAGATCGATCGTATAACTTTTACCCTTCATGATCTCTTGAGAACTCTTGCACATTGAGAATTGTAAGGCCTCGTTCCGAGGTTTTATCTGCAATTTCTGGTGATCTCAACAAGAGGACAGGGGCTCTTGGTTGTGGGGCTAAGGCGTGGACCCTAAGCTCGAAAGAGAGGGCTCTAATGTCCCAAGCTACGGGTATGCAAAGTCTGTGCTTGAAGTCAGGGTTTTGTCTTGATGTGTCTTACACCCTTTTCCCAACGCTGCGGCCGCAAGCCTAAACATTTCCCCCGCCCAGTATGGCGCAGGATTTCAGACGGCCCTGGGCCCTAAACCTTGTTTAGTGCTTGAGTTCTGGCAGGTGTCTGCAGTGCTGAAGACCCACCCGGTGGTCGGAGATGCTTTGGTCACTGCTTTTGATGGGCCGCTCGGCTCTTTCAGATGGGCTGCACTCTAGAGTTTAAGGGTTTAGGGTTTGGGGCTTCCGGGGTAAAGGGTTCAGGATGTCCGGTTCCGGTATCCCTGTGTCCGCAAGTATCGCTTGCACGGGAAGGCTGAGCAAGGAATCCATCGACGGTCGGAATCCTCAACAGGTGGGGTGAAGGTACGTGGGATATTCCCAAATAGTAGTCCTTATATAAGGGATCCTTGATCCTACCTACCTTCATCCCACCTTTTGAGGCCTCCGACGACGGCAGGCATCTTATTTCTTGTGTGTGGCAGTTTAGAAAGCCTGCAGCGTGCCTGACTGTCCGCAGATACCCAGAGAGCCCAAATACCCCTTAATTGAGGAATAGACCTTAGATCATAAGGTTAAGGCCCCTATCATTTAAGGTATATTCCGTAATGAAGGGGTGCTGGGCTCTCTGGGTAGGAAAGCATGCTGTGCCAACCCTAAACCCCTAAACCCTAAACCACAGAGAGGTCGAACCTGCGATTCCCTCTTTCTTCACAGCTTCCACTGGGTTCTGGAGTACCATACTTGAATACCTTTTTATTGGACCTGTTCCTTAAAGGAACCACTATGAAATAAACGTCTATACTTTTTTCTCCCTGGTTACTGCAAAGTCTAGTTCACCCTCCAGAGTCTAAGGCACTACTTGTACGTTCCCAAACTCCAAGTCTTCAACCCTGATTGCTAATAATTATTACTAATAGTAATGACTAGTACTAATGACTAGTACTTATGATTAATAATAATTACTAATAATAAGTACTCATAATAAGTATAAAATTACTGAACCTGCACACCCCGAACCCTAAACCCTCAGCCCTGCACCCGGAACCCTGAAAAGTAACTTGGAAGGCCTTTCGGCAAGGCGTTGGCGGCCTACGTTGTTACCACCGATACAGTGGACTGGTCGCAGGACGCCCCATAAGGATTTGGGGTTTTTATGGCTTAGGAAATTTCGGGCTTTTTTAGCCTCTCATTAGAGCTTTCAGGGCTTCACTTAGGCTTCATTTAATAAGGCTTAGGATTTAGGGCTGTTTGTGGCTTAGGATTTAGGGCTTTTTAGGCTCTCACTAGAGCTTTCAGGGCTTCACTTAGGCTTCATGTAAGCTTCAGGTTAAAGGTTTGCTCTGGGGAGCGGGCTTCCGAAGGCTACACAGGCCCCCTGCGTGCAAGGAGGCATTGAATTTCGGGGTTTCTGCCACCCTCAACCCACACCCACAAGGCCAAGCTTCTCCAATCAGCCTCTATGCCGCACCTCAACCCCAAGCCCCAATCCCTGAACCTCAGCAGTTTTGTGATCGCGCGATCGACGCGGCAGTGTTAGAAGCGCAGTGGCTAACTTGCTAAGGTTCCTCTGAATGCAAAGCCCCAAGCATGATTAAGGCCCCTGTACTACACCCTTATATAGATCCTTTGTAGAACCCATTACAGTAAGCTTTTAATCGAACTCTAAGCTCTAAAGCCCCAAGCCAAGAAGCCTAAGTCTGACTTTGGGGCAGGAGATGAGCCAGGGTGCGCAAGACGAGGACGAGATTCTGAACGTCAGCAGCTGGGGCGCCGTCTACGACGAGATGCACCTTGGGGGAGAGCTGCGTAGAAGTCCGAATTCAGCGTTTGGGGTTCAGGGTGTAGGGTTTGGGGTTTAGCGTGCAGGGTTTAGGGTTTAGGGTGTAGGGTTCGGGGGGTTGGGGGGTTTGGGGTGTAGAGTTTGGGGTTTAGGGTGTAGGGTTTACGGTTTAGGGTCCCCAAGTCGCAAAGCTTAAGGGACAATAGGAGGGATCCCTAGAAGGGACCCCTGATCCTCATACTGCGAGTTCATAAGTTCCATGGTTAGTGGGGTTGGCCATTGAGTGTGCAGTGTCTCTCGCGATGTGATCTCTCAAGAGGGGCCCCTTTTTCGAGCCTACTTAGTGAGCCGTTGCAGCCACGGGAAAAGAAAGTTCTCAGAGAGCTTCTGCGCTTGTGTCCTAAGAGGGCATAGATTTCGTGAGGAAGCTAGTGAACCTCATTATCGTGTTTGCTGCCAGCTGCGCTCGCTCCGCGATCGCACTGGTAGCGGAGCAGAGTCTCCGTGATCCAGGGTGGTTGCTGGTTTTCTCCTCTACCTGGACGAGTCCTGGAACTAGTGTTCGGCAGGAGGCTTTGAGGCAACTATCCGGGCATCTTCCTCGAGGGGCTTGATTGGAGCTGCGGTTTTCGCGGTTTCGAACAATTCCTGCTGGAGGCCTGGAGCGTGATCCTTTTCAGGAGCCATGCCTTTTGTG